TTAACTATCAATATTAATGAACAAATTTAAATAATGAGCTACTTATATAGCCAGGGCTACACTAGTACCAGGTTGGGCCACCTTTTCCCTTCAGAACTGCCTTAATTCTTCATGGCATAGATTCAATAACATGTTGGAAACGTTTTGGTCCACATTGACATGATGTCACAGAGTTACTGCAGATTTGTCAGCTGCACGTCCATGATGTCCTATTAGATTGAAATCTGGTGGCTGAATCATTGTCCTCTTTTAGAAACCTGTTTGAGATTACTCGAGCTTTGAAACGCAACATATTATTCTGCTCGAAGCAGCCATCAGAAGATGGACACTGTGTAATCATAAAGAGACAGACATGGGCCCCAAAGTGTGCCGAGAAAATATCCCCCACACTGTTACACCACCAGCAGCCAATGATACAATGCAGGATGGATCCATGCTTTTTATGCCAAATTATGATCCTGACGTCTGAATGTTGCAGCAGAAATCGAGACAAATCAGGCCAGGCAACATTTTTCCAGTCTTGAGGAGCCTGTGTGAGTTTTCGCCTCAGTTTCCTGTTATTGGCTAAGCAGCATGTAGTCTGGTCGTCTGCTGCTGCAGCCAAACTGTTTCAAACATTGTCAGGGTGAGCTCTTCTGCCTGTGACGAGTGGTTGTTTCATTTACCGCTGCCTGTCAGGTTGAAGCAGAGTGACCATTCTTCTCTAACCTCTACATATTTTCTCTTTTTTGGACATTTCTCAGTAACCCCTGCAGATGAGGGGAAAATCCCAGTAGATCAGCAGTTTATGAAATATTCAGACCAGCAGTTATGCCACAATCAGTCACTTAAATCACGCTTTTCCTTGTTCTGATGCACTTTCTGTCCCAATACTGGTGAGTTGGACATACGCATTCACAAAGAACAGGTGTACCTATGAGGTTGCCGGGGAGTGTGTGTGTTTGCTTTCTCTTTGCTCACCCAATGATGGCGAACGCTGGCAGCTCCTGCAGATCAAAAGGGAAATCCATACGAAAGTTTGTCCTGAACAGAGCCGTGATGGTTACTGCAAGAAGAAGAAAAAGCGCCCAAATTTATACCCTCGGCTTTCATTTCAATTCATTTAAATAACGAACTGGAGCTTGTGGTTATTTTAGTACTTAGACTAATATCAGATAACACATTTACTGTGACATACAAACACAAAACGAATATGTGGTGTACTGCAAAGTCACAGGGATGTGTTTGCACAGCAAAATGATTGGTTAAACATCCACGGAGACGCGAGCGAGGCACTGAAACACTCTGCTGCTACGTGAAGGAGGAGATCGCCATCTAGTGGAGAGTGCTGTAACTACAGTACACACATATTGTCAGTGACACTTTGCATCGTGGAGAGAGGGCTCCCTCTAGCTCATGTCTTGGAAAGTAGTATATGTATATATTTGCACACATACCTGCATCTTTATTAAACACGGATAACACTCTGAATATGAAGGCACTAAATGTAGCAGCAAAGTATCCTCTCCAGTAGTTTCTTACAGCAAAGTATGTAGATGTTACCTCTATGCTGAAGAGCACACCTGGTGGAGGAAGAAAAAAAGAGCAGAGAATTAGTCGTGTATCAGATGTGTACTTCCATCATCACACTAATCTACATTTAAAACCTCTGCAATCTGGAAAACTGGCTGTAGATGAACATAAGAATTCTGATATTTCGGTTTCCTGTGTGCACCAGACTGCGATGAAAATACCCAAAGCTGAGGCCTGACTGTCTTACATGCACTCCTGAGGGATATGAGTCAGACAAAGAGAGCGGAGGAGCACGGGGAAAAGGATGTGTACCTCCAAGCGGAGTACCGAAGCAGCAGCCCACCCCGACAGCACAACCGACCGTCAGGATGTCTGTGTAACAGTATGGATTCTACTGATCCAGAGAGGAGGAGGAGTCAGCATTGAAACAACAT